TATATATATATATTGTATATATAAATACAGTATATGTGTGTGTGTGTGAATGTGCCAGGTTTGACCAGTGACAGATTATAGTAATAACAATCATATTTTCCCCTCCAGTTGGACAGAGTGACACAGGAGCCAAGAAATGATGACAAATTGTGAGAGGGTACAAGCATGCATGCACGTGTGTGCGTACGTGTGTGTTTGTGAACAAATAAATGAAATTGTGGTAAGGCATGTGGTACATGTGGCGTACATCTGAGAGCTGACATAGATACGTGTGTGGCTGTAAGTGTGTTATGATGAAGATCCACATATGTTCTTATTTATTCTGACAGAGAGATGAATTCTGGGTAGCGGGGATTGGAGTTACACAGAGAGAGAGTGTGTGTGTGCATGTGTGTAGGTAGATACACAGATTTATACTTACTACTGCTGGGTATTAAATCTCTGTCTGGTATAAACAGCTTGTATCCATAATGTTTCTCCAAAACATCCGGCAAGATCTCCAAAGCAAATGTTTCCTCGTCGCTGCTCGTCCTGCTGGGAGAGGGAATAACAAACATGGCTCCAAATTCAAAATCAGATAACAGACAAATCAATCAGCGAATGCACTTAACTACAAACGCCTGCACACAGGTGGAAAATTAGAGGGGAACCCATCGTAAAGATGTGGGCTGCCCTGCTCTGTTAAACTCCACAGGAGAGATGGAGCACTACATTCCAGAAGATATTCCCTCATTTGATGTGCAGACGAGCACGTGTTGCATCTTCGTAGCTGATCTTGTGAGTACAAAGACTGTAGCACGTGATTACATCATTTTCTTCTCAGCATGCAGATCACTGCATTGTCATCCAGGAAGGAGCCACTTCCATCAGGACAGAGATGTTTAATCAGAGTGTAAAGGTGAACGCTTTGAGCAAATTTGTATTGATTCACGGTGAGCCTTCCTTCTGAGGTGACAAGTAAACTGAAGCTATGCCAACAGAATGCTTTCCTCAAAGTAACGGAGCCTCTCAATCCCCTCACTGTAGGGCTGTCAGGTTTAGTTTTTTGCATTTAATTTGGTCAATATCAAACATCTGCACATTTTATGAATTTATTTATTCATTTTTTGATTTTTAACATGACCAGGCTTACTGCTAACAATACAACAAGTAGTATTTTAATAAACATGTCTGTAGCCCAGACAAAATTTTGGCTAGCAAGTCCTTTTCATGTGGCTGCCACGCTTCGATATAAAAGAGAGGTTTGTCTAAACCGTTTCAACCACAGAAGCAAAGAACTATGCTCACAGGAAGTGTATATATATATATATATA